GCAAGTTAAAATACAGAATTAAAAGGGAAGCATCGTAGTGTAAACAGAAACCTCCGTCCGCGACAGGATTCGAACCTGCAATCTTCTGATTCGAAGTCAGACGCCTTATCCATTAGGCCACGCGGACATGAAATTCTTTGTAACTCTCTACATATATATAAGAACGCTTTATGTATAAAAAACTATTTCAACATAGTATTGTGTTTATATGTTCTCTCCAAAAATACGATAAAATGGACGTGTCTCAACGAATAGAATGGAGTAAGCAATGATTTAAAAAAATCGAGTGTTAATCTAATCTTTCCGAGCAGACATTTCATTTTATCAATTGTATCTCCTACAGCAATTAAAAATCACAGAATTAAAAGGGAAGCATCGTAGTGTAAACAGAAACCTCCGTCCGCGACAGGACTCGAACCTGCAATCTTCTGATTCGAAGTCAGACGCCTTATCCATTAGGCCACGCGGACATGAAAATCTTTGTAACTCTCTACATATATATAAGAACGCATTATGTATAAAAAAATGTTTCAACATAGTATTGTGTTTATACTGTTCTCTTCAAAAATACGATAAAATGGACGTGTCTCAACGAATAAAATGGAGTAATCAATGATTTAACAAAATCGAGTTTCAATCTAATCTTTCCGAGCAGACATTTTATTATATCAAATGTATCTCCTATAGCAATTTAAAAATCACAGAATTAAAAGGGAAGCATCTTAGTGTAAACAGAAACCTCCGTCCGCGACAGGTTTCGAACCTGCAAACTTCTGATTCGAAGTCAGTCGCCTTATCAATTAGGCCACGCGGACATGAAATACTTCGTAACTCTCTACATATCTATAAGAACGCATTATGTATAAAAAAATGTTTCAACATAGTATTGTGTTTATATTTTCTCTTCAAAAACACGATAAAATTGACGTGTCTCGTCAAATAGAATGGAGTAAGCAATGATTTAACAAAATCGAGTGTCAATCTAATCTTTCCGAGCAGACATTTCATTTTATCAATTGTATCTCCTACAGCAATTTAAAAATCACAGAATTAAGATATGTAACTACCCAAAAATCCTCGGTTTGTAGAAAATTTTCGAAATTTTTTTATGTTTTAATATTATAGCCCATATGCTTAAGATTCCAAAAATACTTTTTTTTAGTTCCTACGATATTTAGAAGCTAAGTTATAGCTTATTTAGTAAACCGGAAATGGAATTTTCAAAACCGGAAATGGGTGTTTAAAGAGACATAAAAATGTAAACAAATAGTTTGAACGTCTTTTTCGTGACTTTTAAGCAATATAAATATTTAATATTTATTGTAAATATAGATCAACGTATCCTTTATTTATTTATTAATACTTGTTTAATCTGGCAACTGTTTTTTTTTAATTCAAGCTTTTTTTACTGAGTGGCTATAATATTATCGTTTATAGTTTGTTTACATTGTTCATTCTAAAGCGTTCTTCTTAATTATTACTTACTTTTGATATTTTTACAGTTTATTCATTCATTTTCATTTAATTGTAACGTTTTATTTGACTGTGATTTATTTAAAAATGCCAAAAGCTAGATCGAAAGTGTCCAGAAAGAGAAAGTTTTATGGTAATAGGTTTACCAAGTTAGCACAAAACAGTAATAATACGTCTGCAAGTGAGGCGAAATTGAGCAGTTTTGATGTGCCTGAACCTGAATTTCATGGTTCTACAGGGAATATAATTCATTAATTTCCAAGCTTTGATGGGAATTATTTCAATCCTGTTGTCCGGAATGTTGCAACTGGATTGAAACTGTCCAGAAGATTCTAGGAAGGACTTTGCTCTAACTTGTTGTGGCTTGCAGTGTGATACATGATTGGCTTTACTTCTACCCTAAAGAAAATAAAAAATTCTCTCTCAATACTTTATTGGCATTTGGATTGAGGTTGATTGCAGAGGTTTCACAGCTGGTAAGAAGTTGTTATGCACTTTAAATTTGCATAGCGTTTCTAAAATACCTTCAGAGCTCTATGAACTCAAACTGCTGGAAGCAGTACAGTTATCTTCGAAAGAAAATATGAAAGCTGTATCTAAAGAAGTGCGAAATTTTAAAAAAAGTACAACTTGTGGTGTTTCGGTAGATGGCACATGGCAGCGGAGGAGCATATGTCACTAATGGCTGCGTTTCAGTTATTTCCATTGATACTGGAAAAATTTTAGATCTGGAAGTAATGACACAGTATTGCAAAATGTGTGAAATGAATGTGAAATCTGAGCATGAATGTTCAAATTACAAAGGATCCTCTGGAAACATGGAAGCTGTTGGAGCTTTCAGAATTTTTGAAAGGTCACTAATCAAACGAGACCTGCAATACACCGAGTACATGCGTGATGGTGGATTCCAAGGGCTTTTACAATTGAAAGATATATATGGTGAAAACAGTGTCAAGAAACTTGAATGTATAAGACATTACAAAAAGAGTAGGCTCACGTTTAAGGAAACTAAAAAAGAACACCAAAGGACTTGGTGGAAAGGGGAAATTAACTGATAAATTTATTGATAAACTGCAGAACTATTATGGGATTGCCATCCGAAGCAATGTTGGATGCCTCGAAAAAATGCAATCTGCTGTAATAGCTGCCTTCTTCACTGCTGCTCTAGCAATCAAAATCCCATGCATGGGCAATGTCCAACAGGAAAGATAGCTGGTGCAAGTATAAACAAGCATTATGTGATGGTAAATTATATGTAGACAAAACAGCAGGCCTTTCTAAATTCAGTGATTAAAGTGATAAGCCTACTTATTTAGCACTTTGTGATAAGGAGTTGCTAAAAAAATGCCTTCATGGCATGACTCAAAAAAATAATGAAAGCTTTAATAATGTATTGTGGTCTGTTTTGCCGAAAGAAATTTTTGTTCATAAAAAAACTTTGTTTTTGGGTTCACACATTGCTGTCATCTTATATAATTCTGGTTATTTAGGGCTGTTGCCTGTATTTAATTATTTAGGTATAGAAATTGATCCAATGACACTTAAAAATTTATGAGAATTATACAGAGAGAATTCAAAAATCGAAATGCCAGTCATTACATTCAACAAAACTCACCAGAAAAAAGCAAAAAGCCAAAAAAAAGTCCAAATTAGCTAAAAGTGAAGCTAAAGAGGGCTTAAGCTATAAATATGGGGAGTTTTGAAAATGTTTTGTAAGTAGAAAAGTAATTATTTAGAGTTAAAATTAAATGTGTTTTACGAGAAACTGTTATTCAATATTTTTCTTCATGATAAAGCTTACTACACAAAATATTTTTAAGATACTAAATTTAAATTTTCAGAACATGTTTTATGTAGTTCTATCTGTGTTATGAATCAAAATATAATCTCTGTGTATATATTTAGATCTTCATTGCTTTTTATGGAAAAAAGCATTAATTTTTAAAAAATTGAGTTTTGCATAAATTTGGCATATTTAAAAACTTCAAAAGCATTACAAATTTTTGTTCCTATCACAGATAAGATGTTTTATGTACAGTATAAAATTATTTGAATATATTTTAGAATTTAGTACAAGATTTGTCGTAACTGCAATTTTCACCAAATTTCGCTAAAACGACAATTGTTATAGTATACAAAACTCCAGAAAACAACAAAGGGTAAAATAAATGGCCAAATCAGTTTTACATGAAGCTAAAAGAGCTTGAGCTATAAATATGGAGAGTTTAAAAAGTTACAATTAGTAGAAAATTTTCATTTTGTATTAAAATCTTTAAATGCATTTTCTGAGAAACTAGTTTCTAATTTTTCTCACGCACAGTTCACTACAGAATTTCTTTTTAAGATATTGACCTGAAATTTTCAGAAAATGTTATTTAGTTTTATCTGTTGTCTGGACTATAATCTAATCTCTGTGTATATATTTATTTATTTTATTGCACTTTTTGTGAGAAAATAACATTGAGTGTTTTGTAAAATTGAGTTTTGCGTAAAATTGACATATTTCAAAAACTTTTAGAAGTATTTACAAATTTTATAGCTTATCAACACAGATAATAATGGTATTTATGTACTGTATAAATATTATAAGAATATATTAATTAGAATTTTCAACACAATCCTTACTCGCAACTGCAATTTTCACTAAATTCCATCATAAAATTCCCAATATTTCCAAAATTAATTTTAACTTTGTAAAAACTGTATTGGAATTCTTACTTTTATGTCCCATTTCAAATAAAAAAATGTTCATTTAATTGAAATTTTATATATTTCAAAAAAAGTGCTCCGAAGGTAGTCACATACCTTAAAAGGGAAGCATCGTAGTGTAAACAGAAACTCCGTCCGTGACAGGATTCGAACCTGCAATCTTCTGATTCGAAGTCAGACGCCTTATCCATTAGGCCACGCGGACATGAAATTCTTTGTAACTCTCTACATATATATAAGAACGCATTATGTATAAAAAACTGTTTCAACATAGTATTTATTGTGTTTATACGTTCTCTTCAAAAATACGATAAAATGGACGTGTCTCGTCGAATAGAATGGAGTAAGCAATGATTTAACAAAATCGAGTGTCAATCTAATCTTCCGAGAGAGAGAAAGACATTATTTTATCAAATATATCCCTATAGCAAGTTAAAAATCACAGAATTAAAAGGGAAGCATCGTAGTGTAACAGAAACCTCCGTCCGCGATACGGATTCAAACCTGCAATCTTCTGATTCGAAGTCAGACGCCTTATCCATTGGCCACGCGGACACTGAAATTCTTTGTAACTCTCTACATATATATAAGAACGCTTTATGTATAAAAATATTTCAACATAGTATTGTGTTATATGTTCTCTCAAAAATACGATAAAATGGACGTGTCTCAACGAATAGAATGGAGTAAGCAATGATTTAAAAAAATCGAGTGTTAATCTAATCTTTCCGAGAGACATTTCTATTTTATCAATTATTCTCCTAAGCAATTTAAAAATCACAGAATTAAAAGGAAGATCGTAGTGTAACAGAAACCTCCGTCCGCGAGCAGGATCCGAACCTGCAAACTTCTGATTCGAAGTCAGCGCCTTATCACATTAGGCCACGCGGACATGAAATACTTGTAACTCTGCTATATATATAAGAACGCATTATGTATAAAAAATGTTCAACATAGTATTGTGTTTATACGTTCTCTTCAAAAATACGATAAAATGGACGTGTCTCGTCGAATAGAATGGAGTAAGCAATGATTTAACAAAATCGAGTGTCAATCTAATCTTTCCGAGCAGACATTTCATTTTATCAATTGTATCTCCTACAGCAATTTAAAAATCACAGAATTAAAGGAAGATATGTAACACCAAAATCCTCGGTTTGCGAAATTCTCTCGAAATTTTTTATGTTTAATATTATACCATATTAGATTCCAAAAATACTTTTGTAGTTCCTACATATTTAAAGAAGATTATGTTAAAAATGTTTTTAAAAGATTTTGGTTTT